TTTTTTTTTCTTTTTTCTTTTTCTTTCTTTCTTTTTTTTTTTTGCTGACATGTGTACTGTCTTTTTGTTTTATTTTTTGTTATTCATTTATGTATAATATTTTCTTCAGTTTTGTCTTTTGTCTTTTGTGATTCCTTTTTCTTACGGTCCTTCTATTTCTTTGTCTTTTTTTTCGATCTGTTTCTTATCTTTGAGTAGAAAAGCCAGTCTCAAGACGAAAATCGTATATATTTATTTCATATTTGATTTTTCTCCGCTTTTTCATTTTTTTTTTGGGTTTCATACTTTTTTGCCACATTAAAAAAAAAATCTTATCACAATTTATATATCCCCTTTTCCTTTTCTACATATTCTTTATTTTATTTTTTCTCGTTCTTTTACTTTCCCTTTACGTTTTTAGCCATCTTTTAAGAGTCAGCGAAACAAGAAGGGGGAGCCCGTAGAGTTCGGGAACAGCAGTGATAGGGTATGGGGGCGGAGGGCAGGGAGGGGGAGAGAACAGGGAGGGAGAGAGATCTGGGAGGGTGAGGGGAGGGGAGCGTGGGGGGAGAGGACAAGGGAGAGAGCCAGGACAAGAGAAGGGAGAATAGGACGAGGAGGGGAACAGGACGAGGGAAGCGGGGAGGACGAAGGGGAGAGGGAAGGGACGAGGGAGAGACAGAGGACTAGAAAGGAGGAGGAGGAAAAGGAGGAGGAGGAAGAGGAGGAGGAAAAGGAGGAGGAGGAGAGGGAGGAGGAGGAGAAGGAGGAGGAGGAGAGGGAGGAGGAGGAGAGGGAGGAGGAGGAGAGGGAGGAGGAGGAGAGGGAGGAGGAGGAGGAGGAGGAGGAGGAGGAGGAGGAGGAGGAGGAGGAGGAGGAGGAGGAGGAGGAGGAGGAGTGGGAGGAGAAGAAGGAGGAGGAGGAAAGGGAGAAGGAGGAGAGGGAGCAGGAGGAGAGTGAGGAGGAGGAAAGGGAGGAGGAGAAGAGGGAGGAGGAGGAGGAGGAGGAGGAGGAGGAGGAGGAGGAGGAGGAGGGGAGGAGGAGGAGGAGGAGGAGGAGGAGGAGGAGGAGGAGGAGGAGGGGAGGAGGAGGAGGAGGAGGAGGAGAGGGATGAGGAGGAGAGGGAGGAGGAGGAGAGGGAGGAGGAGGAGGAAAAGGAGGCGGAAGATGGGAAAGGAAGAGGAGGAGGAGGAAGAGGAGGAGGAAGATGGGAAAGGAAGAGGAGGAGGAGGAAAAGGAGGAGGAAGATGGGAAAGGAAGAGGAGGAGGAGGAAAAGGAGGAGGAAGATGGGAAAGGAAGAGGAGGAGGAGGAGGAGGAGGAAAAGGAGGAGGAATATGGGAAAGGAAGAGGAGGAGGAGGAAGAAGAAGAGGAGGAGGAGGAGGAAGAGAAAGAGGCCGAGGGCGAGAGAGAGAGAGAGAGAGAGAGAGAGAGAGAGAGAGAGAGAGAGAGAGAGAGAGAGAGAGAGAGAGAGAGAGAGAGAGAGAGAGAGAGAGAGAGAGGACAGGAGAGGCCGGGAGTAGGATGGGTAGTGAGGAGTTAAAGTTATTTCGGCCGGGTTTTCTCTTGTTATGCCTCTCACGCGCTCGACAAACTTTCACTATGAAGAGAATGATCCGTGACCGGCTACGTAGCGACCGGTCACATCCACATATTCGCCGACGAGGCTTCCGGAGGCCGAAATAACGCGGGGAAATTACGGCTGTGGTTTCGGCTTCGAGTAGTTTCTGAGATACGGGTTTGCAGAGTGTCTGTGTTGACTTATTTATTCATCTGTCTGTTCATTCATTCCTCTATTTATGTTTATTTTATTCTTTTATTTGCAGATTATACGGTTTAAAAGGATGTCTGTGGATTTGGAAAGAGTTAAGCGTTTTATCTCGTTTTTTATTAGTTTCCCAGATACTAGGGATGAATGTTAATGTTCATTTTATCATTACTGTATAGATATATTTTTAGATGACCTATCTCAAAGAGATAAACTGACTTTTATCTCAAATTTAAATTTTACTAATGTCACATCTCTGCTAAGATAATCAACTACGTATATGTAAATATATATATATATATATATATATATATATATATATATATATATATATATATATATATATATACAAACATATATATATGCACACACACACACACACACACACACAC